GCCGCATGAAGTCAAACAAGCCTAATATCTCTAAAGAGTGTGTTTTGGATGTGAGGGAAAGATAACCTTATTCAGTGTTATGTGAACAGTGGATGCAATTTGTTTTTCCAAGGCAGCAACGGAGTTTCTCAAGCGTGTTTATTTGTTCCCGTCATTTCGGTGACAAATGTTTATAACAAGGCACATTCTGTCACTGGATTTGCAGTGTCTGGAAGATGGAGAAGCCCCAGCGATCAAAGATCCCGGTCATATAAGAACTGCGTAAAACTGCATCAAATGTCTGTGATTGTTAGTAAGTGTAAGTGCTCGCGACTCTTCAGCTCCGCCACGGCTCGCCTCCAGGAGCTCGGCTGTTTTCGGAGAGAATCGCAAGCTGTATCTTTCTTTTATAAATCTGATAAAACTGAAGACTCTTCGGAGATGTGAATGATGCAATACTACAATTATAGGTATTCAAGATAACATGAGATTGGCCAAAACCGTGTGTGTTATGTCCCCTTTAACCTAGGGAATAATTTCTGCTGCGGTGCAGCTCCAAGAGAAATTGGTAAACAGTCATTGTTCAGTTGAAGTCGTCTGCATCCGGAAACCTCAGAAAATCAGCTAATGACTTTGCAGGCAGCGTTTGTTCATGAAGGTAACTCATGAAACTGATATCAGACATGCTTCTGAGGCAGCTTAATGGTTCAATGATCTACAACAAATAGAACGAGCTTGGTGATAACTAAGCAAATATTAAATGATATATTTGATCAACCATCAGTAAAGTTGCTTTGCAATGATTTGTATCGTGAAAAGCGCTGTACAAATAAACTTGACTTGACTTGACTTGACAGACAGACAGACAGACAGACAGACTTAAACCAGTTACACCAATTCATTTTAAAGAGATACTGCACCCAAAAATGATAATTATGTCATTATTTGCTCATGCTTATATCGTTTCAAAACTGTATGATTTATTTCATCTGTGTAATAGATAATTTGAGAAATGTCTCAGTTAAAGACAGTGGGCTCTGATGCTATTTGGTTCCCAACATTCTTAAGAGATTTTCTTTTGTGTTCTGCAGGAGAAAGAAATGCAGTGCAGGTTTGGAACCACACGAGAATGAGTAAATGATGACAGAACTTTAATTTTTGGGTGGAGTATCCCTAGCATTGGTGTTGCACACCATTTAATACTTACTGATTCGATGATAATTAATATAAAATACAAAGACTTTTCTTTTATTAGCCCCATCTGGATTTCATTTATAAATACATTTTCGATTAAAAAGACCCTTT